TACCTTTATTTTATTTTATTTTATTTTATTTTCCTCATATTTCTGACCTGTAAGGTAAAGGAATTAGAAACTCTACATGCACAGTTATAGTTTATGAAATGTTTTCTGTAATGGAAATATTTTTGTTTCTTAATTTTCTCATGTGCTTCTGTTTGAATTTTTTCCCCCTTTTTCCAATACTTTTTTCCCCTATGCCTAATTTTCACAATTATTCTTCTAAGACTACAAACCTAGAATTGAATTTATTTTTCTCCTTGGGTCCTCAATCTCTTTTTTGACTTTGTTTCCTAATTTTCTTTATATTTTCTTATATTCACCTGCCTGTCCATTCCTTCTTTCTAGTCTTTCTGTGTCTTCCTTCTTTTTTATTTTTCTCTTCATGTCTCCTGCTTAATTTTCTTCCAGATGCTCTCTGGCCTTAAGTCTCCGAGTTATCCTTATTGCACACCCTCTTCTTTTGCAATCAAAACCTTTTTCCTTCATCTATAATATAGTGGATACATTTGGGGTTCCAAATTTTTCCTCTTAAAAAAAAATCAGGATATCAGAGATAACAAAAGAATTTATTACAGTTTGTAGTCTTAAATAAATCTGCACTAATGCCCAAATCCATGACTTTACAGACATGGCTTATTGTGCAGATATCTATATAGATATATAGATTTTAAAAGCTATAAAAATTCTATAGATGCCTCCATAATCCACCTTTACTTTTTTTTCCAGTGACGTAGTCATGTTTAACAAATCCTGCAGAATGTGTGAAAATTGTTTGTTTTTTAATTCTAGTTTAATCCGAACTATTCGCGTTACACTAATTAACCTGAAGAAAGCCATTAAAGGACTGGTTGTTATGGATGCTGAGCTGGAGGCTCTGTCTGGCAGTCTCCTTATTGGAAAAGTTCCTGAGAAGTGGGCACAGCATTCATACCCAAGTCTAAAACCATTAGGGAGCTATATTGTTGATTTGCTAGCAAGGCTGAAGTTTTTACAGGTAATGTACAAGTGCCAGTGCTGCCAATTGTTCAATCTACTTTTCCATATAATTTGTCTTTATTGGGCAAGGAGTTATAGGCTTTGTTTAGATTTTCTGAGTACAATTATGTAGAAAATAGTCAGAGTATGGGATTCCTCTCTGGTTGTTCAATGTATTGCTTTCCTCTCTCCAGGATTGGTATGAATTAGGGAAGCCTGCTGTTTTTTGGCTCTCAGGATTCTATTTTACTCAAGCTTTCCTAACTGGAGCCATGCAAAACTATGCCAGGAAGCACAGGATCCCTATTGACCTTCTAGGATATGAATTTGAGGTATGGATAAATTATAAATTAATATTTTATTAATCTGAGCCCTGATGTTGTGGTGAGATGTAGTGAATAAATCCTAACTGGAAGGTTCATTTTGCAACTGACTGCATCTGAAGGCAGATATTTGTTAGGACTGGCAGGCTAAATAACCTCTGTGGAAGAGGTATTCTCAAAGTGACTAAAGGCAATTCTATCACTGGACCCAGAACTCCACTCAAGGAAGCAGCCTAGCCAGTGTATTTTTTCTGTGTAATTAAAGCCTCATTTTGTAACCTACAAGAAAGGTAATTAACAAACCCAGAGAAGTCTGCTGTCTCTAGAGATATATATAAAATAGCATTGAAAAGGAGGGGTTACTGTATTATTCTCTCTGTTTGGTTTGGTCTGAAAACTGGCATAATAGCTCAAAAAGCAAAGAGCTGTGAGTTTAATGACTGTAACACTTCTTTCCTGCAGGTTATTCCTCAGGATACTGCTGATACTGCACCAGAGGACGGTGTTTACATCCATGGATTATTTTTAGACGGAGCTCGCTGGGACAGGACCAAGTCAGTAGCCAAATGTTTTACTGTGCTTCTGGAAAGCCTTTTTCAGTGCTCAAGCAAGACTGGTTTAAGTAATTTAAGTGATACTTTTCATATTATTGAAATAACACACCAAATTAAGTACTCTTTCATGCATGGAAATGGGGAAATGAAAACAAACAAGCAAGTAACAACCAACAAACACCCACCAAACCCCTCAAGCCACAAACAATGACTTTGTTGCTGTCTCTCTCCAGGGGAATATTAACTGAGCAGTATCCCAAAGTGCTCTTTGATGCCATGCCAATCATTTGGATAAAGCCAGGTGAGTGTGATTTCTCTGATGTGTGAGCTATTCAATGAGAAATTGCAATAGTGGTTTCCTTTTTTTACTGAAGATCTCTGAGGAGAACTTTTCACAGATTTACAGAAACTGAGTGTTTTACCTTCAGTGATTTAGCAAGGTTTGCTCAGGTTATTTTTAGCTCTGTAATAGCTGTCTTTCCTACTAGTAAGATAATTTGCACAACTCTTGTTTTCTTTGATTGAGAGGAGTAAATACTTGTTTTTATTTATGTACAAAATCAGGACTTACTACTGCAACTGCTGCAACCTAAGTGTTAGCAAATAGGCAGTATTAAAATTTGCCACTTTCTCTGCTTGTGCCTTCTCTTGAGATTGGATGAATTTATTCAGACCTTCATGATTTTATGCTTTGCACAAGTTCCATGCAAGAAATCTGGGCATACAAAGAGTTCCTGCAGAGTTCTGTCCTTGGGTCTTAGATGACTTGAGTTGCAGTTAGATTCTCTGGCAATTAGATGGAAATTCTTGTAGAGTTGTGAAAAACTCATGTATAAGCTATGTACTAACTAGGTAACTATTCAGATTTTAATGTGTCTTTGAGTATTACAAAGCTGGTAGAATCACAGGCGGGCATCAAGTCCTGAAAATAAATTTTAGCGAAATTAGTTGGATTTAAGAACAAAACAAACCACACAAGAAAACACAACAAGAAAAATCCAGATAATTTTATTCTGTTGCTCACAAAACAATTTTGCATTTTTAGTTACCTTTACAGATGTTACTGTAAATACTTAACATTTGCATGTAGATTATGCTTCTACCATTAGATCTGCTGAATGTAATGCATAATTTTGGGGTTTTTTTTGAAGCTGTAAAATCAGACATAAAGAAGACCAATGCCTATGTGTGCCCACTCTACAAGACAAGCGAGCGCAAGGGGGTCCTGTCCACCACGGGGCACTCCACAAACTTCGTCATCGCCCTGAGGCTCAGCACAGACCAGCCCGTGCAGCACTGGATCAAGAGAGGCGTGGCCCTGCTGTGCCAGCTGGATGACTGACAGGGCACACTTCAGGCTCCACAACAGCCTCTTCTCTCTGCTGGCTCACAGAGGAGGTGGAACTTAGAGTGGAAAGAACCATCTGGAGGTTTTTGTATTGTGAGAGGGCATGCAAATACTTTCTGACCCTCAAACTTTTGTGTTAAGTGTGTATTGTTATTATTATAGACCATCTTTACAATCTGTCAGCTATACAACTAGGATTTTAGCCCTTGGTGATATTATTAAAATATTTTAGCCCTTGGTGATATTATTGAAATGAACACCTTTTTTGTGCATTAGTTGAATATCACAAAATATGTTTTCATGGGAAATGAAAGTAGTCTGCACTATCTGAGATAAATATTGTAGGTAATAAACTTGACTCTGAACTTTTGTTTTCCTTAAAAATAATTTAAAAACATTACTCAAGCATTCCTTCTACATCTCCTCTAGCAAAGAAATGTTTCCACCTTGCATTCAGATACAGCCATCATCTGTTCTGTGTATGGATCCAGCCAAAAAATACAGTAGGAATAACTGAGCACATAAAGGTCTTACTCCATCCTACCATCACTATTACAACTGGGCATCTGTGTCCCTCCTTATTGGGTGTTGAACCAATGTAAGTCTGTCTTTCTGAAACTGCTTTTCCCTTTAAAAATTCTGGTTTTCAGTTGCTTTTCTATTTATATTAATGTGAATTATGATTAAGTAATCAGGAACATGTAATAATTTTAACAGAGGTTTTGTTTGATTATTTGCTTGGTTTTGTTTACTTTTATTGTTTCAAGTTTATTTTTTCTGCTGTCTCACTCTTAAGCCACCTCCTAAGACCACCTTTAGTTTGCTCTCCTAGGACAGCACTAAAGGATTTTCTTTTTATGGTGTAATACTTACTGCTATATGTCTGAAATTCTTATTCCAAAACTCAGAAGTATTTTTACAAGGAAAATGGGCTTTTAATTCCTTCTTTTGTTGGCAGCACTTATCAGGTCAGATTATTAAACATAACTGACGTGTGTGAAAGAAATGTGGAGAAAGTCCCAGAGTATCTTATGACTGGGTATTTATAGTGAGCTATTAATGGACATGGGCTCTGCAGAGATTGTTTACAATCCTGAAAATGTCACTTTCAACTTAATAATCACTTCTTCAAAGGCGGAGATTTTCCCTCTTTCAGAAGGTGAGGAAAGCCAGTATATTTTCTCAATGCATAGGAAAATTAGTAGTACTTTTAGGAAAAAAAGTAGTCTATATACTCATTGAACCATAGTAAAATCAATAACTAACAGTTTCTTATTGTATATGTTGTTAATATATTTCTATTTTTTGCTATTTATGCAATTACAGAGCAAGGCCTTGCAATCACACTTTAGGTGGAGCAGGTAACAAATTCAATGATGCAGATTTGCTATGAATTACTGCTGCCCAGCTTTAAGATGTTTCTAGAATTATTCCAAGCTTTGTAGTTGGAATGTTGACAACTTCCTTAAATTTCCTGTGCTCATTCATTTTGCCAAGTTATTTATTAGCTTTCAGTTTTATTTATTAATTTTATTTTACCTTGCCCTGTTGTTTTGTTTTGGATTGGTTTTTTCAGGCCAGCTTTCTTGAAAGACAGAAGTGGAAGTTTTGATAAGATAAAACAGATGAGAGGTTTGAGCCTAATGGAATATCTGAGATCTTGAATCTGCCAAGAACAGCATGACTGCTTAATCATATAACAGTGTAGTCATTTATTTTAAACTGTGTTTCATTTCTCCTGATACTGACACAGTGTTTGCTGTTTCTATTATTCCAGATCTAACCTAAAGATTTAACATCTGCTTCTAATTAAAAAGCAGTGTTTCCCTACAGAAGTGATCCATGTGGTGCTGATTTGCCATGAATAATTCTGTGTATATGGTTGATGGTGATTCTGATGAGGAAATCTCTACCCAGCAAGCTATTCAGGAAAGCTTACAAGATTGGCAAAAATTTGAAACAAGTGGCAGTGCAACAGAGGTTGAAAGGTAATAAGTTATTATTTCTATTTTGGGTGTTTTCTTGGCATTACTGTAAACATTTAGTAGACCTTATTTTCCTTTTTTAACTCCCTAAATTGTATTGTGCTGACCTTGTCCCATGGATACTGGAAAGCACTGGTAGCTCATTTGTTTTGAGTGCTCCCTGAAGAAAATGTACCTGTTTCTTGGAAAATATGAAACATATGAAACTTTCAGGTGATGCTTTACATTGATATGTTAATGAGTATAAGGCTTTGTGAAGAACATAAGTAGGTGATATAGAAGTAGATTGGTATGGGAGCTTCCCCTCATTTTAGCATTTAATTGTTGGCCTTTGTGTTAAAAATTTAGTATTTACAGTGTCAGGGAAAGACCAACAAAAATAGTGTTTCAATGTGTTAAGCCCTCACAAAACCAATGTAACTTACAAAAATCTAACATATTGTCTAAATTAGAGTATTTGAAGTAAGGTATAATTACATCCTTAGCTTCACGTGAATTTTTACATCTGATTTTATTCTTGTTCTGTTTATGCAGTTTCCAGTATACCACAAGTAAGGAGCATGGGCAGATCATTGCAGCAATTCGGACAGTTAAGTACAAATACACCCCTGGGAATGGCTGAGCAATGCCTACACTCTGGGGGTTTGATCACCTGATTTTAGTGTAGCTTTCCTTTGTATAGTCTTGGGAGAAGTAAGGAAACTAAAAACAAGACATCCAAAAGCTAGCTTATTAGATAGGATCATGGAAGTGGAATGGGTTCAAGTGTCACTCCTTTCAAAAATTCCAGTGCTTCATCTCCTGAAATTAGAGGAAAACTCCAGGCCTTTCATTCATAATGAGCAAGATATACTGGTGGAATAAATGACACTCAGTGTATTAGCTGCCTGGATTTTGGCTTATGATGTGTAATGGGATATATCTATGCTAAAACATCACAGGCCAAGAGGAGGCCTTGAAGAAGTTGGTGAGGCACAGTTCTGCTTTTGAAGAAGCAGATCAGCAAGGCTGGCTTCCTGTGCATGAAGCTGCAGCACAGCTAAATAAGAACATCCTTGAAATAACTTTCAAAGGTACTAAGTCCTTCTAGTTTTCCACCAAAAAGTTTTACAAAGAAAAGTTTGATGAATCATCCAACTTCAAATGTGTTCTGCTTTTCTGTATTTCAGCCTCCCGTGACATTACGTGGGAACAGTCCACGCTAAAAGGGGAAACACCTCTCTTGGTGGCAGTAAGAAATTGTTTTGTGGACAATGTCCACTTTCTCCTGCTCAATGGCTGCAATCCCAATGTTAGAAATGAAGAGGGAGATTCTCCTTTAGTTATAGGTGAATACTGTTTTTAGGGGTGGAGAGGTGAGGGAATGAGGTGAGGATACATTTTAGGTTTTAAGGTGACATATTTGACTTCAATGCCTAAAATATTTTGCTATAAGGAGAAAAGAAAAATAATCTCAGCATTGAATAGGTCTGTCCCTATGTTTTTCTCAGATGATAATTAGCTTTCTCCATGAAGTGCAGAGTGCCATCCTCTGCTTTCCTTGGCATCATTTCTGTAGTGGTGCCAGGTAGTGAGTCCTTCTGCTTCTTCATGCTGTTACTGCCCTTCATGTCTGCAGGCATAGAACATTCATATTCTCTGCCCATATGGTATCTCCTTCATTGCATCAGCCTTTTTTTTCCTCTAAAACCCATGGTAATTGGTTTTAATTATCCAAAATTATAGCAAACCAGCCTGATTTATCTACAGTATGTGGGATGCAAAGCTGTGTTTGTCCCTATTTAGACATTGCTGTCATTAGTCCAAGGATGACAAGTGAAGAAGACAGGCTGACATTCTCAGTTGACTTCTCTTTAATATTTTGTAATTTGGGAATAAGGTCCCATACCTACTGTAGTCCTAGTATAGTCTCATACCCACATTCTTTGTGTGAATGCCACTTTAGTTTGATCATGCACAAGAACTGTAATTCATGGTTTCTAAAGAACTATATTTTGCCAAAATGTTTTTCAAAAGCATTCTTTGTTCATTCCCTTTGCTTCCCTCAGTCTGGGCTATGATGCCTTCATTCTTACTGAATCCTACCCAAAAACAGGAAAGCAGGAAAGTGTCTTCTCATTATCTAAATTCTAAAGGAGCACTCAAGTTTCTTGGATGATCCCATACATTTTTTGTATTGGAAGGGTGGTTTCTTTTTCAAAACTATTGTTAAAGGAGGAGAAAAAGGCCTACCAATCATGTAGGACCCTCAGTCCATCCTTGTAAAATGGCTGCAGTTTTAAGTCAGGGCTGTCTGCTTAAAAAATGTACTGAACTCCTAGATACTTTTGAAGTGCACAGCATTAAAATGCACCATCCCCCAAGAAGGGGATGCATGGGATTTATCTGAAGCAGCCATGTAGGTCACAGATAATGGGACATCACAGTTTCTGTCACAGAATGCTGTCACTGGTGTTCAAGCAGCTGTGGCACATGAAACTGCTCAGCCTAATCTGTCCTGCTGAAGGACACTCACTACCCTGCACAGCCTGGAAGATCAAAGAGAGAAGGAGGGAAGGGTGTTGCCTAATCATTCCATCCACTGGAGCTAATACAAATTTCTCTTTTAAGATCCTCCCTGACTTAAGACTTCAGGTTTATTAAACTAAGAAGGCGTATAAAAGAGTCGTTATAAGCTTTGTTTCATATTGGGGTAACTGCTTGTGGAGATTTAACAGAGCTCTTGTGGCAGTTCCTGAGCACCAGGGCCCTGGGTGTGGTCTCCATCTAGTGGCAAGGAAAGCCGTGTTCTGTTCCATTACCAAATGCAACAGAGAAGAAAAAAATCTACAGAGAGAGATTACCACGAAATGATTCATTTGCATACTTAGTGCTGTCCTTGTTGATGAGTTAAACCTTTCCGTGTAGGGTGGCATTTCTCTTTGCATAAATAGCATTGCCAGGAACAGTGAGCACTCACATAACAGCAGCCATGGTGCACAGATAGCACTGAGTAACAATCCTGTCTGATGCTTTGCTTGCTGTCCTACAGCAATTAAACTTGATTCCTATGACATCGCCTCCTTGCTGCTGCGATCCGGTGCCAGAGTGAATCTGCGCTGTGTCCATGAGAGAACTGCTCTGCATGAGGCAGCCAGGCTGGGCAGGAAGGACCTGGTACAGCTTCTCCTGGAGGCTGGAGCAGATCCTGACCCCCGCAGTGGCTATGGCCTCACACCTCTAGCACTGGCTGCACAGATGGGACACACGGAAATTATGGAGCTCTTACTGCTAAAAGGTGAGACTTTATTATATAGGACCTTATAGGAGGAGAAGGCTTCAGATATGCCTTCAAAAACAGCAGCAGAAGTAGCTCACATTACTAGAGAAAATTAAATGTCATCTGCACTGAGTGAAGGCCTGATAAATACCAATTTGTATAATATTAAAATAATATATTAATATTTTAGTGAGTACCTATAATTGGTTTTTAAATGCTGTATTATTTTCTCACATAGAGAGGTCACCCTAGGGCACACTTGAGAAGATATTGTGGGGAATTTTACATGATGGTTCAGCAGCATTTGAACTGGATTGCATGAACTCTTGGATACTGGGTGCTCTCATGTTTACAGTCACATCTGCCTGTTCTTTGTAAAGTAAAGGAATTGAAATGCATTGTTTGTAAACCAAAATCAATTGTTTTGATGAATAAGAACCAAACCTTTTGCTGGTGCAGTTCTAGGAACAATTCTTACTGTGTTCAAAGCAATTTGGACCTTCTTGTTCTAAGGATTACATAAACAGATCTAAAATCAAGGATCCAATATGAAGATTTATGCCCACAGTGGTTCTGTTTTGTGGAGAATATAATTCAAAATACCATATCACTGGGGGGTTGGAGATATTAATTGCAGATGAATATTTACAGTGACTACTGCGAAAATCCTTGCTGCTTCTTCCCAGGTGCAGATGTTCTTTCACAGGCAATGGACTGTGCTTCCATATTGTTTGAAGCAGCAGGAGGAGGAAATCCAGATTCTGTGAATCTTTTACTAGAATATGGGGCTGATGCCAATGTACCAAAGCACTCGGGTCATTTGCCAATCCACAGAGCTGCATATAGAGGACACTTTCTGTGAGTTAATGTACTTAAAAATCAAATCATAGTGACACCAGAAATAGTAATTTTACTAATTTTACCTTATTCAAAGCAGGCAGAAAATCTGTAGCTTTGTACAAGGAATTATTTTTGACTGTGTAAATATGTCTGTTCTGTGTCTGAATGTAAGAGATCAGTTAGGATAAAATCTTCATGATTTTAGGATGCACATCTTAATCCCTCTGGTATTTCCCCATTTGTCACAAGTAGTAACACTGTCCAGTCTGATGCTGAGGTTCTTGGAACATTGTCACTCTCTCTGGGTCAATGTCTCATCTCCACCCCTCCAGAGAAATGTGAATGGTGAATGTACTAAATAGACAAACAGAGAGTAAGGGTTTTCCCTATTTTACAGAGAGTAAGACTACTGGAAGATATTTATGCTGAAATCACAACTAACAAATGAGAAACAAGCACCTGACTATTCTTAATTTCTGTATTAATATTTTCTGTATATTAGTTGTTATATTTAGATGTATATATTACATTATAGATTATATGTATTTGTTTTATAATACATATTCTATTAATTCCCTAACCCCTATAGGTTATGTGCTTTCAACATTCAGGAGAGATTTCTATTGAAAAGGAAACATTAATTCCTACAGCAAGGAATGGGTTGTTCATGAATAATAGTGTAATATAATATTATATGTGTAGTAGATGTAAAGTCAGTATCCATTGCTGGCTAACAATTGCAGTGTTAGCAATTCGAGTCAATGCATGCCATGGTACTGATTTGCCATGGTATATGTATATTAAGACTATTCTAACAGTCATGATGAATTCTGAAGCCCAACAACACAGAGAAATTCAAAGATGAGTTAGGTGAACCAAAATGTTTAAGATTCTGAGATGCTTCTGGTTTTAATTTTTCAGAGCTCTAAAATATTTAGTTCCAGTGACTGATTTTTCTGCCATTAAAGAAAGTGGGATAAGTCCAGTGCACTCAGCAGCAGCAGGAGCACATCCCCAGTGCCTTGAGTTTCTCCTGCAGTCTGGTTTCGATGCCAATTTTATGCTGGCTCAGAGAGTTCGCAAGGGCTACGACGACCACCGGAAATCAGCGCTGTACTTCGCCGTCTCCAACGGGGATATCTGCTCCACGCAGCTGCTGCTCAACGCCGGAGCCCTGACAAACCAAGATCCCATCAACTGCCTCCAAATAGCCTTGAGAATGGGCAACTACGAGTTAATGAATCTGCTGCTCCGCCACGGGGCCAACGTCAACTACTTCTGCCGTGTGAACACCACGCATTTCCCTTCGGCCCTGCAGTACGCCCTCAAGGACGAGGTGATGCTGAGGATGCTGCTGAACTATGGCTACGACGTGCACCGCTGCTTCGACTGCCCCTGGGGCAGCGGGGACCACTCCCAGTACGTGACCGACGGCTGGACCTCCACTGTCATCAAAGACACCATGGTAAGGGTGTCACACGGCTGCGGGTGTGGCCCTACCGCCTTCCTGAAACTAAATGGAAAGGGGCTTAATGCACTGTCAGAAAAAGAAGTTTTGAAGACAGTTTACACATAAAGAGAGGAACAGACAAGGCTTTAAAATTAACCAGATGTTATGAAGCCTAGTTCGTGAAGGCAAATGTTGTAAACAGTAATTTTGAATTGTGAAAATATAGCTGATGATATGCTAATGATCAGTAAGGAACTGGCTCTCCAGGGCAGTGCTGTCCATGCTGTGAAAGCAGAGATTTGCAGGCTGGCTCTTGGCATTGTCCTGTACCAGAACACCAAGACTGGAAGGCTGTTGAAAGGACTCCTGGAGCTGGTGGGATAAGCACTGAGCAGAAATTAGCAAACCTAAAGATCCTAATCGGTGTCTTTGTCTTAGTTTGTAAAGTCTATTTGAATCTTATAAACCCTTCTTTAACCTAAAGATAAGGGGATGATGCATGCACTGGGGGCTGGTGGATCCTCCTATTAAGCAGCTGAGACACAAGTCTAAATTCCATTCAAGAGTGGGAGCACTTCTTTTTAAGCACCAAGTCCCCAAATATACAGCTGCTTAAGTTAACTTCTGGATTTAGTACAAAATAACCATCTCCCAAATTTTTAGATTCTGCTAGTGAGGCTTAAGCAACCTCTAAAACCCTGCTCAAGTAATTGCTCTTGTCCTCAGAGAAAGAAGTAAGTAGTATCAAATATTTACTGCAGTATCAAATATTACCCTCCTAAATGTTTTGTTCCTATCAGTTCTGTGAAGTGATAACCTTGTCCTGGCTGAAGCACGTGTCTGGGAAAGTCGTGCGAATCATGTTAGATTACGTTGATCATGTTAAGATTTGCTGGAAGCTCGAAGCAGTTCTCAAAGAACAGGAACTCTGGCCAGACATCCATTTCATTTTAAGTAAGTATCTGTTTACATTTTTAATGAAAAGCTGGTTTGGCACTGGGGCCATTTTGCTTGGTAGCATTGATTTTGCTTCTCCTTTCTAGCAAACCCTCGCTCTCTGAAGCACCTGTGCCGGCTGAAGATCCGGGCGTGCATGGGGCGGCTGCGTCTCCGCTGTCCTGTCTTCATGACCTTCCTTCCACTGCCAAACTGCTTGAAAGATTACATCCTGTACAAGGAATATGACCTTTATGGGCAGGAAAACTTCACAGGGATCTACAAGCTCAACTGTGCATAAGTATTTGTCCTGTGCTTTGAAGGGAATTTAATGTGGATAAGACTGTTGTGCTTTTTGCTTTTGGGATTTTCTCTCCTCTATATATTAAGGAATGCCGTGGCTCTCCCCTCATCCCCTGAAGAACATGGTGAGACCCCCAAAATGTAAGTATTGGTGATCCCATTCTAAGGATCTCCTGGCCTATGACCTATCTGCAAGTTATGGCAACAGTATTTTAAATGCCTGGTGTGACAAGTTAAGGAAGTGAACAATACAGGGCTGCAAGCCTTGTGTTATGGCTAGGTTGAAGCTTTTCATATCAGATACCACTACCCTCATTCCAGGGTTAAACTCAGGGCTTAGTTAAAGGTCAGGGATTTGACTAAAATCAGGAAGGGACATAGTTTTCTCTTGTACTTCTTACCTTCTCTTGCCAAGAAATAGTTTTTATTTGTGAAGTCCTGAAGAGCAGCTTAAGTAATTCTTCACCCAATAAAGCAATCCCCCATTCTAGGCAATTACATGAGATTAAGCTTGATAAACCTCTGCTTATCACAGCAGGTCATGTGACATACCAATGTTTCACCAAGGTGGCCCTGCTGAAAGCTGTGTTAGTTCTGCAGCTCCTTCTCAGGTACTGGCATGTCTCATCCACCATGAACTTGGACTATTCTCTCTAGAACTGGGTTCTCCTTACACAGTGCTGTCCAAAGTCATGCTTGCAATTTTTGGAGTTTCACGCTATAGAGGTGGAGCTTAAACTTTTGGAGCCCTGGCATTTTAGGAAGTCTTACAGAAGTCTTAGAAAGACCTTCAGCATGCCTGTTCCTTCCAAAAATACTGCAACTATCAGTTCTTATTTTAGAAAAAAAGAAGTTCATAAACACATTTGGCATTAGTAGTATTTATTCCTTCATAATCAAGTAAGCATAGATTTTTTTTTCTAGTTATACATGCATCTTTATCACAGAAGTTACAGAATTCAAAAGTCTGCTTTCCCCCAGAAAAATCTACAAACCTTATAAAATACAAATTTAACCTTAATGTGGTTATGGCCCATGGTTTTTTACACGGTGTTTATCCCATAATAAACTAACTCAGCCTGTGAAGATATGTCCAATGCCCCTGGTAGTGGTTGTGCTGGTAGAGCCTCTGCACTCTGCTTGTTCTGCAGAGCCCTCACAGCCCTGTCACTGCCCCACCATGGGCCCTGCCCAGCCAGCTGCCACAGCTCCTGCTCACCTTCAGTCTCTGATTGTTGCAAAAATAGGTTAAGAGCATTCCCAAGTACAACAATGTTCTCTGAGGTTATCTGGCTATTACTATAAAAATTAAGAGAACTGAGCTACACTTGACTACCTGCATGTCAGAACTTATTCAAATGGAAGGGAACAGATCCTGTCACCAGTAGTGGTACTTCCTGAAAGTCAGCATAATGAAGAATGCAGGAGGCTTTTGCATCAGTACAAGTCTCACCCAGAAAGTTACTATAGTTAAGCTTTTATTTAAAATATAAAATGCTGACTGGAGCCCTGGTACAATAGGGTTACTATCCATGTTTCCAAGATTAAGACACAACAATCAGAGTTGACAGAAATATGCCATTGGTTGTTCTTAATACAGCTATTCAGGGAAAATGTGCAAGTCAGTCTCAAACACTGCAAAAATCACTTACACTTCACCAGAACAGGACCAATCCAGAACACCATCATAAGAATTTGACCACTCCACTCTATTATAAAAATGACCAGAAAGGTTGTACAAAATCCTCAGCTTGCAATATAAACTTCATTAGGAATACAAGTGCATTCACAATGATACACTGACTTATTCTTGTCATGACAACTTAGATACCACTGTGGCAGGGAAAACAATGCCAACTTAGTGCTTAATTAAAACAAGAAGCTTGGGGACTAATTACCTTGCAAGAAGAAAGAATATAAAGTATCAGCTTTTGCTGTTACACTAGACAATATCTCTACTAAATTCACTAAGCAGTGGCAGTTTTCTTTCTCTAGGTGAACTATTTCCTAAATAATAAGAGACCATATTGTAGCATAGTTTTCACCATTGGCTAATCTCAAATGCTGTGCATTTAATTAATCAGTATTTACCTTAAGCATAGACAGAATTTACCTTAAACAGTCAGATTTATTTCTTTATATCCATGTATGTCAATTACAGCTTCATAAATAGCATCAGCTGTTTCAGTTTTCAGCTCTGGGTTTACATCCACATAAAGAGGAAATCTGATAGCCCTTTAGAAGGGGAATGTTTCCTAACTCTGAAATATTACTGTGAGACAGTAAATTGTCCTGATACAATTTCAAACTCAAACAGATTAAGGGAGTAAGATTATGACATGCAGCTGACTTTTCACTACCTGATCATATCCAGTTAGATATGTTTCAGTAGTACATGACTTTGACCTTGTCCTCTGGTTTGGACTTGGCCAAATCTAGCAGTGAGCACAGAGGAGTGCCAGCTATCATGTGTAATGCAATAAAATGCATACCCATAAGCACACCTGATATATTTGGATATTCATGCCATTACATACACAAAGAGTGTATGTAGCTTAAAGAGCTGACAGCAAGACTGGCTTGGTCTGCAGTGTGTGGATCTACACGGTGGAATGAGCTTCATATCCTCTTACTTAAGGGATAAAAGTTTGGCAGTAATTATGAGGCTGCAATTAGCAACAGTCCTGAACAACACTGCCAATTCAGTACCTACATGAAGTCACTTGAAAATCATGGATTTGAAAGAATATTTTCAGGAGTGACTGAAGTAATGGTAGATGCACATGAAGCCAACTACAGCTTCAGCCAAAGGTGCTTGAAAGATCAGTTTGTGAATAAAAGGCAGCAGGAAATAATAAACAGGAGGGTTTCTCCTGTAAATTAGTAAAGGAAACCATCTAGCAGTTTAGTTACAATAACCAAATACTCTGGTGGTGAAATTCTACCACAGCAGTTCCCAGCAGACCATGAGGTGTTCCTACTAAAAGTTACATACTCTCATGGAAAACACCAAGCATCATTCTGATTTTTTTCAGCAAAGCTGTTTTCTAATGAAGTAGTTCTAAACCTTATAGGAAGAAAGGTCATGTATGAAACCTCAGCAGCTGTTTTTGCCTTGAGATAGTTCTAATTACAACCTGTGTGATCCTCCCTAGGCAAAGCTGTCATTCTCACCCCCCTGCTAACTCAATTACCATTCCTGTCTGACTTCCCCAGCTCTGCTGACATGCCCTTGGCTCTTGCAGCTTTCATCATTACCCCAGATGCTTTTATACTTTCTTGCTCATTTTGCACCAGTGAAACTTCCCTAAAGGAGCAAACAACCAACCCCTACATTTCATTCATGCATATCAATCTTGGAGTGGTTAAGATGAGAATCATCCAACATAAGTGAAATGTATTTCACTCCTACTCTGTTTTAGAAAGCTACATTAAATGGTATATATGGAAAGCTTAAAAAGCAAATGGAGTAATTCCAATATTTATTGCTAAATCAAAAAAATCCAATTTGACAGTAAATTCACCTACCAACTTTATCAGCCTTTCTTCCTCATCTTTGCAGATTTATATCTATATGAGTAATGGTAGCTTTTGCAAAAAATTCAGTAATTCCACTTTCTGACATTTCTTCAATAAGGCTAATGCAAAACAGGCTGCACATCAGAAATGCTTTCTCATGAGAGTGCTTGTCTATTACCTGTCCTCCCTCTGGAGCCTGGGCTACTGCAGCTCCAGTGCTTAACACAATTAGTTCTTCTCTGACAAGCTGAGGACTGGATTCTAGACACTAGAGATCACTGATTTCATAGGCTCCCTGTGCTGTTTCCAAACTGCTTCATCCTCAGTAAATACTTGAGAAAGATACAAGTAAGACACAGGAACCTTGAGCTACCCTGTGATATTATTTGATAGAAAACAAATATCAGTAAATAAAAACAAACACAAACAAACATGACCTGGAATAATTTGCAGAGACAAACTGTCTTGCCACTCTCTGTAAGCCTTGATTTAAGCACAAAAAAGGGAAAAAATTCAATTTGGTGCCTCTCTGTACATTTTTGTTGGCAAGAATAAAAATAGTCTCTTAAAAATGGGAGCTGAGATTGGAAGCCTAGATATGAAATAAAAATGCCACTGTCTTTTACAAGAAGCCTCAGGTTGGTGTGGTCCATGGGGCACTGTGCCAGTTAAATCCAGCCACAGGGCAATACTATGTGACCTAACTGGACAACAGCAAAAGCAGATTTTTCTACAAGTGACTGGCTACTCTGGGGATGAAAATCACACTGGAAAAGGATCTGGTTACTAACTCAGGAAGAGAACCTGGCAGCTCTCTGTTCCTCAGCCTCCTTACCTCCTTTTTCAAGGCAGAGCCCTTTGGTGGCTGCTCAAGTCCCTGTGGTGTAAAACCTCTGCCCAAGCTTCTGCAGCTCCAGCTGCCTCTGCTCCTGCCCAGGCACTGCTCCCTTCTCTCCTGTCACAGGAGCTGAGGCCACCAAGTCCCATCTGCAGCACCAAGGGCAGGAGGAGCCTTTGGCCAAGGCAGGGCAGTCGCAGGAGTCAGAAGAGCCCTCTGTGCACCTACAGCCATCCAGCAGACACAACCTGAGATTCCTCACTTATTTATCAGCACTGGACAGCTCCAGCTGGGAAGGGCTGGGCCACCACCAGCTGCTGAGGAGATACTCTGAAAATTGCTTCCATTCCTGAACACCAGAAATGCCCTGCAATGAACTGTAAATCACTCATAACTGTTATATTATAACTTGGAATATAAGTGTATTCTCTTCTCTCTACATATCCTGTTATTTTCATGCCACTATTAGAGAGCTATCTTCTGTTCCTCTGGATTTTAATATTTATAGTAATTAGTGCAAAAATAAATATTTCTCTTCAAACAAGATTTCTCTTCTGGTTCAAAAGGTGAATACACATCTAATTCTATACAAAATAAATATTACACAGGGTATGGAATATGGAGTGCAGATTACAAGCTGT